GATTTAGATTTAGAAATTTAATAATTCAGAAAACTTTAGAATAATTTAGAAAACTCAAGAGGAGAAAGAAAATGTAGTCTTTTTCCGATGTTTTTACTTTTTCCACTGTTCTTTATTCTTATCTCGTGTTCCAAGATACCTTCTTTTATTATTTTGTACTATTTTGAGAGTTTTCTTTACTTTTCTTCTTGGTCATCCTAAAAGGCAGCAAATTCTCATTTCAAGATAGTCTCAAGATAGTATCCTTGCATTTGAGACTATCTTGACTTTCCTTTCATTCTTGAAGGATGTTTTTGCTGGATATAGGACTCTGAGTTGACAGCACTTGAAAAATGTTGTACCACTTTCTTCTGACCCCCACAGTTTCTTTTTGTCTTTAGTTTTCAGAATTTTGACTGTATCATATGTCTGGGCGTGATTTCTTTGGGTATATCCTATTTTGTATTCATTCAGCTTCTTAAATATGTAGGCTATGCCAGTTGCCAAACTTGAGGAGTTTTCAGCCTTTATTTCTCTTCAGGTACTTTTTCAACCCTGCCCTCTTCCTCCTCTCCTGACATTTTGATGACATAAATGCTCAATTTTTTTTGTTATAGTTTCACAGTTCCCTGAGGCTCTGTTTATTTTTCTCAAAGTTTTTTTCTCTGTTGTTTGGATGGAGTAATTTTTATTATTCTCTCTTCAGGTCACTGCTTCTTTCATCTGGGTCCTCCATTCTGTTGTTAAATCATTTTTACATGTCATTTCAGTTATTGTATTTTTCATTTTAAAAATTTTGACTTGGTTCTTACTTATATCTTCTATTTCTTTGCTGAGACATACTCTTCATTTGTTTCAAGGGTATTTGTAATTGTTGAAGCTTTTTATGCTCAACATTTTAATGATACTTAAGATCTTTGTAAAATAATTCTAATACCTATATTACCATGGTGTTGGCATCTATTGATTGTGTTTCTTCATTTAGTTGAGATATTCCTGGTTCTTGGTGCAATTTTTTTATTGAAACCTGGAAATCTAAGATATTATGTTATAAAAGTTTGGAACTTACTTAAACCTTCTGTTTTAGCTGGCTTCTTATGACACCATTCCAAGAATAGAAAGAGGGTGGTTCTGGCCAGGTGCAGTGGCTCATGCTTGTAATCCTAACACTTTGGAAGGCTGAGGCAGGGGGAATCATTTGAGGTCAGGAGTTCAAGCCCAGCCTGATCAATATGGTGACATCCCATCTCTACTAAAAATTAGCTAAAAGAAAATTAGCCAGTTGTGGTGGTGCATGCCTGTAGTCCCAACTACTTGGGAGGCTGAGACAGGAGAATTGCTTGAACCCAGGAGATGGAGGTTGCAGTGAGCCAAGATTGTGCCACTGTACTCCAGCCTGGACAACAGAGTGAGACTCTGTCTCAAAAAAAAAAATTAAAAATAAATAAAAAATAAAAAGAGGGTGGTTTCTTATTATCCAGGTAGGGTAGAAGTCCATGTTCCTTAATCAACTTTCATTCACACCTAATGTTACTGCTGCATGGGGGATGAGAACACTGGGATGAAAGTTTTGGCTCCTTACTTGGTCTTCTTTGACATTACCCTAGTGGGAGTATTGTGGTGCAATACTTTTAATTGGAATTGCATTGGATTTATCCATGTATTTTGGAAGAATGAGATATTAAAAATATTAATTTACCAATTCATGAATATGATATAGCTTTCCATTTATTTAGATATTTAAGGTGTTAGAAGTCATTTTACTTATTTATAATATACATATTTTTGAGACAGGGTCTCAGTCTGTCAACCCATGCTAGAGTGCTGTGGTGCAATCATGGCTCACTGAAGCCTCAACCTCCTAGGCTCAGGAGATCCTCCTGCCTCAGCCACCCACATAGCTAGGAGTGCAGGCATGTGCCATCATGCCTGGCTAATTTTTGTATTTTTTTTTTAGAGATGGGATTTTGTCATGTTGCCCAGGTTGGTTATGAACTCTTGGGCTCAAGTGATCTGCCTGCCTCAGCTTCCCAAAGTACTGGAATTAAAGGCATGAGCCACCATGCCTGGCTAGATTTCAGAAATCTCAGCCATGTTTTGTAGTTTTGGTGTACAGGTCTTGCATATCTTTATCAGATTTATCCCCATGCATTTCACATTTTTAATAATTTTTTTTCTAAATCTCATTTCTGATTACTCATTAACAATAATGTTAGTATTAGAAATGCAATTCATTTTTCTATGCTCATCTTATATTCTGCAGCCTTGCTAAACTTGCTGCACAGTTCTGGTAGCTATTTAAAGATTCTACATGATACTTTAATAGAAAATTATGTCAATTGCAAATCAATAAAGTTTTGATTCTTCTCTTCTGGTATGAACACCATTTATTCCTTTTTCTCGAGCTACTATACTTGGCCAGACACTCTAGGATAATGTTGGAGAGAAATAGTAATCCTTGCTTTATTCCTGATCTTATAGGGAAGAAAATTCATTTACACTTTCACCATTAGGTAAGAGTAAGGGAAGAGTATAATTTATACATTTATTTTCTTTTTGAACAGTTTCTTAAATATAAACAATGTATAACTTTTGTAAACGAGAACAGTACCTTAAAATAATCCAAAGCACTATGTAAAAAACCTCAAAACAACAGTACCTTATCATCACACTACTCAGTGACTTTCCCTCAAGTGCTCACATGGTGCTCAAGGTGGTGGCAGCTACAGCAGAGGACTCTAATTCCATGACTGGAAAAATCTCTCCAAAGAGGACTCTGTGTGCAAAGAAGGGTATGGCTGATGAGGCTGATGAGACAGTGAAGATGAGGACATTGGAAAGAATATTTCATTTTCAAAAGATAATTTAACTATTCTAGATTGACAATTATTTTTTTCTTTCTGTACTTTAAAGATGTTGTTTCACCGTCTTCTGGCTTCTATTGCTTGTGATGATAGCTGCTTTCAACCTTACTATTGTTTCTCTGAATGTATTGCATCTTTTTCTTTGGTTACTTTTAGTATTTATTGTCTCTTCAGCATTGGTTTAAAGCAATTTGATTTTCATGCACCTTGGTGCAGTTTTCTTCATTTTCTTAATTCTTGGAGTTCACTGATTTTTGTGTACGTCCACGTGTTTATAGTTTTCATTATATTTGGAAATTTTTTGGTCATTATTTCTTCAAATGTATTTTTGTACTCATCCTCATCTTTAGGGACTGCACTCACAAATATGCTTAGTCACTTGAACTTGTTCCAGGACTCTGTTCCTTTTTATTCCAGTCATTTTTGTCTCCATAATTCAATTTGAATAGTTTCTCTTGCTATCTCAAAGTTTACTAATTTTTTTTTGCAATGCCTAATTTGTCATTAATCCCATCCAAAATATTTTTTATCTCAGAACATTGAGTTTCCATCTCTATCTATTTGATTTGGGTCTTTTTTATATCTTTCATGTCTCTACTTAAGATGTTTAATTTTGCTCTATTTATATGAGCATATATGAAATAACAATTACTGTCCTTAGCTACTAGTTCTATCATCTCTGACATCTCTATGTCATTTTTTTGTCTTTCTTAATGCTTGTGTTTTTCTGTTTCTTTTCATGCCTACTAATTTTTGATTGAGTGCCAGACATTGTGAATTTTATCTGGTGATGCTGTACATCTTTGGATTCCTGTGATCACTCTAGAACTTTGTTCTGGAATGCAATTAGGTTACCTGGAAACAATTCGTTTATTTTAGGTCTTTCTCTTAACCTTTGTTTGGTGGATTCAGAACACTATTTAGTCTAGGGCTAAATTTGCCCTACTGCTAAGGCAAAATTCCTTTAAGTACTCTGATGTTTTGTGAATTGTTAGGTTTTTCCACTGTGGCTAGCAAAACCAGAAATGACTCCTAACTCTATGTGAGCTCTGAGAATTGTTTCATTGAATGCCTTCATGATTGTTGTTTTTGTTAATAGCCTCAGTTTTTTTAAACACATATTCATTGATCAATATTTATCTAAATATCTTATAGTGACCCTTCAGTGATCTTGGCTTCTTTCTTCATGCTTTCTCCATATGTTTCCCTGTAAACTCTAGCTGCTGTAGCCTCCCTAGACTCCCAGAAAGTTCTGTTTTCTCAACCCAGGAGAACCTTGAGGCTCTACCTGGATTCCTGTTTCCTGAACCATAGTCTAGAAACATTTTCCACACAAGGGCAATCATAGGGTCCACCTCATTCGTTTTCTTCTACTCAAGGATCATTATTCTTTGTTGCCTGCTCTCCATATCTTGAGATCTGTTTTTCACGTTTGTCTTTTTGTTGTTTCAGTTGTTTTATGTGGAAAGGCAAATCTGGTCCTCTTAGAGAATAAATATGGTGTACCACTTTGGCCAGAGCAGAAGTTCACCTTAGTTCTTAGTACATTAATTTCACAGGTTCTTTTTTACACAAATACAACCCAAGATCTTCACCCTACTTTTCTACATAGAAACCAGCTCATGCGTAAATAAACATCTACATTTGAAAAGTGATTCAGGTGTATAGTTTTGAAAACAGATGGAGTAGTAAACCAGATAAAATTTACACTTGCAAAGAAAGGTAATGACAGGATTCTTTTAGAGTTTTCAGAATATCTGACATAAAAGTTGTTTTACCTCATCATTCTCCTCCCTACAGATATATAAACCCATTCATTATATTTATATATTCATCGTCTATAATTACACCTTTCCAAGGGTTGTAGTTGTTCATCCTCAGTGTAAGAGAAACCTCTGGGAGGTGGACAAGGTGAGTAGAAGGAAAGTAAGGCTTAAAGCAACAACAAACTTCATGTGTAGGCAAGAGAAGGACTTAGTATCATACAGTTTATATTAGCCGATTGGTTTTCCAGCTCATACAAGTAGTCCTGAGGTTAGTTTTCCGGTATATTCCTGCAGTTTTTCAAGACTTTGAGGTAGTCTTTACTTAGCCGTAGATGCCACTGGCTAATCCCTTTACTCTTCTCACACTGAGACTGTATTTGTCTTCCTGCAGGAGAAACCCTTGGGCCACAGAGAGACCAGAAAGGCTATAATTAAAACCTGAACGTCGTTCATTGACTGGGTAACACAACAGTTTGAATCCTCTTCCACTAAAAGAAAATTAAAATCCTTTCTGGGCTTCTTTGAATCTTGGAGGCAATATATATCTAGAGTGACTTATTTGCCTGGAATTGTTCAAGTTCATGTCTGTTGTCTTGATGTATTTTAAATAATTCTTTCATTTTAAAGTGCCTGGGCTGGGACAACAAATTACATAGTGTCCTACTCTACCATATTTGAGTGTGATTCTCTATCCATGTACCAAGAAATACGTAAAGCTATCAGGTCTGAGGGGCATCAAGAGCAAGAGAATGCTTCCTAGCTAGGTCAGGCACAATGTGGCTCTCATCCTCAGGTTTTATGAATTACAGATCTAGTGATACTCAATATGTGTGCAGTAGAAGAAGATACTCTATGGAGCCCTGGGCAAACTCATGGGAGAACTGTAGTTCCAGTCACAGCGTTTGAAAGAGGCTATACTCTCCTAAGCAAATAGCTAATCTCCTCTTGAGAAACAATCCCTAGATGTTTATTGGGTCTGAGTGGGGACTAAACACTTGATTATAGGACATCAACTGATCATATGACTCAAACTGCTCATTATGAACTGCCCATTATGATGTCATCCAAGCATCACACCTTTGGGCATTATGAAGCAGCACTTCAACTTCAGACCCAGTGCTCCTATGAGATCAGGCACAAGCAGGTCCTGAAGGCACAGGTAGGATTCATGAGAAGCGGCTCAGACTTCCTGATGACCTGCCCATCTCCTTCAATCCTCTGGTCTCATTTTAAACCTCCTTCTGCTGGTTATAGGGATAGCTATGGCATTACAGCCCCACACATGGGTGGCCCTGAAGGACACTGGAGAAAGGAATCTTGCCAGTGGGTAGAACATCTAGCAGGACATGGGTTTCTAACTTAAATGGAAGAAGAAGTCAGAGGTGCATATCTATACTGATTCATAGGCACTGGACAATGATTTGGCCAGATGGTCAGAGACATGGTAAGGAGCAAGATTAGAGAATTAAAGACAAGGAAGTTTGTGCAAGAGATATATGGCCAAACCTCTTAGAATACACAGAGTGAGAAAAATTAATATTTTACATGGATGTTTGCCAGAGGGAGCCCATGGCAGAAGAGGTTCTCACTAACCAAATGGAAAAGATGACTCACTGTGTAGATCTCAGTGAATTACATCTGAGGTGTTTGTGTACAATGTGGCCATGGTGGCAGGGCTGGAGATTAGGCATCCATGGATATTGACACTGCTGATCTGACTACCACTACCACTGCAGAGTATCCAACCTGCTAACCCCAATTGAGTACCATGTGCTGAAGGGACCAGCCAATCTCCTGGTGGCTGATTGATTGCACTGGACTCCTCACATCATGGAGAGGGCAGTAATTTATTCTCATTGAAGTGGACTCTTAGGCTGAATATAGATTTGCCTTTCCACCTTGCTCAGTCACTAGATGAGGGCCATGCCCAGAAGGGCGTGTTTTTCTCTGTGGCATCTAGCATCTCTATCCATGGACTTTCTGTGTGTCTTATTCACCATCATGTTATTCCTTACAGTGCTGCATCTGGCAGAAATTTATTTTACAGCAAAAAAAAAAAAAGCCACAATATAGTCAAGGAATTCATTATTCTTACAATAAACACCTCAGCTAGAAGTCATCGGTCCTGTCGAACAGTAGAATGGCCTTTTGATAACTCATTCATAATACCAGCTGGGAGATTCACAAGTGAAGTTAGGGTTTTGTTCTATAGAATAGCCAATATATGGTGCAGTTTCTCTTCTTATGGTGCATAAGCAGAAAAAAATGGGTCCAAGAATCAAGGGGTGAAAGTAGGAGTGGTACCTACCACTGTGACGCTTAAGGACTTACATGTAAAATGTTGCTTCCTATTCTGTGTTGTAGGTCCTGCTTCATTTGAGGCCTGACAAAGAAAGCAGGCTTCCAGAGGGGACTCAACAGTGGGTCCAGTGAGACAACCACATGGCCATTGTGGCTTTTGATGCTAGTGAATCAACTGGCATGAAGTAGAGGTGCTGTGTTTGCTGAGGTGACTGCTCCTAATTAACAAGTAGAAATAGGATTATTGCTGCACTTTGTGGGCAGAGAGGGGCTCTACCCCCAAATACCTGGAACTTGAGTTCTTTCCTAATACAGATATGACTAGAGGTAAAAGTTCATGAAAGCCCAGCTATTTGATCATGACATTTCAGCGTCACTCAGGGGCTTCTTCCATGCTTCCCAGAGTCATTCTAGCACCCGGCAGTAGCCATAGAATCACCTTAGCCATAGAATCACTGCATCACCTCTGCAGTATATCCGTTTCCAGAAGCCCACTCTCCTGATTCACCGCCAGTGAAAGTTTAAACAATAGAAGCATCACCTGTGCAAGGTGTTCACACGCTAGCTGGGCGGTGGATGATTCAGCTCCAAAATCCCGTATGATTGCTTATTCTTTCCAGACACAACTGCAGCAAACTGGATTGTCTAGACACAGAAGATGAGACAGAGTTGAGGGTGCCAGAAGCTCACTAGGTATGAACACCTGTGAAAGGAAGCAGGCAGAAGCACGATTGCAGTGGAGGAGGAGGAAGTTGAATTGCCATGCAGGTCAGACAGAGCCTTGCCAACCCAGGGGAACTCAGAGGAAGTCCTGCCTGACAGTTTTCCCCGTGGAGCCGAAACAGTTGTGCTTTCATCTCTCCACCTTGCTCAGTCACCAGATGCAGGCCATGCCCAGAAGCGCATGTTTTTCTCTGCAGCTTAGACTGATGTTGAGGAGCCAGGAGCTGGAAGCCACCTGTTGACTACACTCCCTGCAGCTGGTCAGCCCATCCTTTTCCAGGGGCATCTCAACGGCATCTTTGTCAGGTCAGCAATTTTGTGTACATGCCACATTCTCCTATTCATGGACTTCTGGGCTTTTCCCACTTTGAAGCAATTATGAATTATGAATGTTACAGACACGTTTATACAAGTTTTACTGTGACGAGCTACTTTTGTTTCTCTTGGGTAAGTATCTAGGAATGGAATTGCTGAGTCATAAGGTAGGTGTGTGTTTAGTTTTATAAGAAACTACTAAGGCCAGGCCCAGTGGCTCACACCTATAATCTCAGAACTTTGGGAGGCCAAGGTGGGCGGATCACTTAAGGTCAGGAGTTCAAGACTAGCCTGGCCAACATGGTGAAACCCCATCTCTACTAAAAATCCAAAAATTAGCTGGGTTTGGTGGTATATGCCTGTAATCCTAGCTAGTCGGGAGGCTGATGCAGGAGAATTGCTTGAACCCAGGAAGTGGAGCTTGCAGTGAGCCCAAATTGCACCACTGCACTCCAGCCTGGGCGACAGAGTGAGATTCTGTCTCAAAAAAAAGAAAGAAAAAAAGAAACTACTAAAGTGGCTATGCCATTTTACGCTCCTACCAACAATATATGTTAATTCTGGTTGCCCTAGCTCCTCATTGAGATTCGGAGTTGTCAGTCTCTTTCATTTTAGCTCTTCTGTTGGGTATGTACTATCCCATTTTGGTTTTGATTTGCAATTCCTTGATTTCTGATGATGTTGAGCACTTTACCAAATACAGTCATGTGTCACTTAACGATGGGCTCTGAGAATTGCATTGTTAGATGATTTCTTCACTGTGTGTACATCATAGAGTGTGCTCACACACACCTAGATGGCATAGCCTACTACACACCTGGGCTAGATGGTGTAGCCTATTGTTCCTAAGCTACAAACCTGTGCAGCATGTCACTGTGCTGAATACTGTAGGCAACTGTAACACAATGGTAAGCATTGTATTTCTAAATATGGTAAAGAAACAGCAAAAGCACCAAAGTATAAAAGCAGAAAACAAACGGTATACCTGTATAGGACACTTACCATGAATGGAGCTTGTAGGCCTGGAAGTTGCTCTGGGCGAGTCAGTGAGTGAGTAGTGAGTGAATGTGAGGGCCTAGCACATGACTGCACACCACTGCAGACTTTAGAAACACTTTACACTTAGGCCACTGTCAATTGATTAAATAAGATTTTCTTTCTTCAATAGTAACCTTAGCTTACTGTAACTTTTTAGTTATAAACTTTTAATTTTTTAAAACTTTGTAATAACACAGCTTAAAACACAAACATTGTACAGTTGTTCAAAAATATTTTCTTTATATTTTTATTCTATATTCTATGAGCTTTTTTCTATTTTTTTTTACATTTTAAACTTTTTTGTTAAAAACTAAGACACAAGCATAACACATAATAAGCCTAGGCCTACATGGGATCAGGATCTTCCACATCACTTTTTTCACCTTCACATCTTGTCCTACTGGGAAGTCTGCAGGGGTAATAACACGCATGGAGCTGTCTTCACTATGATACCAACACCTTGCTCTGTGGTACCCCCTGAGGGACCTGCCTGGACTGTTCTACAGTTAACTTTTTTTTTTAAATAGAGAGCACACTCTAAAATAACAATAAAAAGTATAGAAAATACATCAACCACTAACATAGTAATTATCATGATCGAATATTATTCACTGTACATAATTGCATGTGCTGTACTCTGATATGACTGGCAGTGCAATAGGTTAACCCTGGCACCGCCACAAACACGTGAGTGTTGCTACCACTTTGAGCCCTTGTGAACATGTGCGAGGGAAAAGAATGAACAGGGTGGGAATAAGTCACTGGGTTTGCTCCCTACACATTTCTTTTGTCTTTTTTTCTTTCCAGATTGTTTTTTATTAAAAAAGTTTTATACATCTATATTTTAAGATTATGCATGAAAAGAAATGTATTAATAATACTCTTGGCTGGGTGCAGTGGCTCACGCCTGTAATCCCAGCACTTTGGGAGGTTGAGGCGGGCGGATCACTTGAGGTCAGGAGTTCAAGATCAGCCTGGCCAACATGATGAAATCCTGTCTCTAATAAAATAAAAAAATTAGCTAGGTGTGGTGGCACGTGCCTGTAATCCCAGCTACTTGGGAGGCTGAGGCAGGAGGAGAATCACTTGAACCCGGGAGGTGAAGGTTGCAGTGAGCTGAGATCACACCATTGCACTTCAGCCTGGGCAACAGAGTGAGATTCTGTCTAATTAATAATAATAATGATAATATTCTCCCCTCTCACCCCAGAGCCAGCCACTGCTATCAGTTTGATAAATGTAGTTCTATGTATTATATGTACATAGTTGTATGTATATAAGACATCAGTTTGTCCTTATAGGTTTGAACCATGGGCACGTTATTTTCAAAATAAAGTTATTTTATTTTAAATAAATGATTTAAATATATGTATATGCTGCTATCATTTGGATATCTGACCCTCCAGGCCTCATGTTGAAAGGTGATCCCCAGCGTTGGAGGTGGGGCCTAGTGGGAGGTATTCTATGTACCTACATCAAGGCCATGCCCTCCCACACGAGTGCACACACAAACACTTAACAAATCACACACCAATGGGGTCATATTTTGCCTAAAGTTCTGCAGCTTGCTTTTTTCACATAACAATACATTATTTCCATCAAAATGCATATATCTTATTCCACTGTCTGTTTCTATAAAGGAATGCCTGAGTTATTTATTTAAAAAAGAGGTTTATTTGGCTCACAGTTTTGCAGGCTGTACAAGAAGCATGGAGCCAGCATTTGCTTCCAGTGAAGGCTTCAAGCTGCTTCCACTCATGGCAGAAGGTGAAGAGGAGCCACACATGCAGAGATCACATGTGAGAGAGGGAGCAAGGAGTGGGAAGTGCCCGGATCTTTCTAACAACTGGCGCCCATGGGAACTAACAGACTGAGAACTCACTCACCATCCCCACCTCCTAGGGATGGCATTAATCTATTCATGAAGAAGCTGCCCCCATGACCTAAACACTGTCCAGTAGGCCCCACATCCATCATTGGGGATCAAACTTCAGCATGAGGTTTTGAGGGTCAAATATCCAAATGATAGCAGCATAATATATTTAATTCATTTATTTAAAATAACTATTTTCAAAATAATGCCCATTGATTTAGAATCCAAATGGAAACAGCAAAAATGGAGGTCTGCCTTCCACTTTCCATTCCCACTCTGTTTACAGTCTCTTGAGTATTGGTCCAGAGGTATTCTATGCAAAGAATGGTATGTGTATGTCTGTATACAGACATATTACCATAATCTATACAAATATGTTCCATTTTATTTTTATTTTTTTCTAAGACAGAGTCTCACTCTTTCACCCAGGCTGAAGTGTAGTGGCACAATATTGGCTCACTGCAACCTTCTCCTCCCGGGTTTAAGTGACTCTCTTGCCTCAGCTTCCTTAGTAGCTGGGATCACAGGTGCACACCACCATGCCCAGATAATTTTTGTAATTTTTTTTTTTTAGATGGAGTCTCCTTCTGCTCTGTCTCCCAGGCTAGAGTGCAGGGCGTGATCTCAGCTCACTGCAACCTCTGCCTTCCAGGTTCAAGCAATTCTCCTGCCTCAGCCTCTTGCGTAGATGAAATTACAGGTATGTGCCACCACACCCAGCAAATTTCTATATTTTTAGTAGAGATGATGGGGTTTCACTATGTTGGTCAGGCTGGTCTCGAACTCCTGTAATCCCAGCACTTCGGGAGGCTGAGGCGGGTGGATCACCTGAGGTCATGGGTTTGAGACAGGGCAACATGGTAAAACCCTGTCTTTACCTCATATTATGAAACACAGTCTCTAAGAAATGTAAGCGAAAAGCTATGGTCCCCAGCCATATCTAGTCACCAATGGGTGGCTAGTCTTTCTGAATTGCCCATGTATAAAGTGGGAGGGACTTAGGTCAAGTCAAGTCACATTTGCATTTTAGTCTTATTGGTTTCTAGCAGAACCATGAAATGCAGTTCCTAAAATTTAGGGCTATTTGCACTTCTTTTTCTGCTTGTTGAAAGTTAGAGACTCACTCCAAATATCTTACGTTTGCAGGTAAGAAAATGCAGTCCAGAAAAGTGACCTAGGTAAGGCCTGAGACTAGCCAGAAGCAGAGGCAGGACTAAGATTCAATTTCTCTAACCTCTGTCCCAGGCTTTGGGATCTCTAAATGTAGTTACAATGGCAATCAGATAGTAACACAGGTGGATGGGAGCTCTTGGCAGCACCAATATTTTAACCACAGAAACAGAAGGTGGCTGGTGCATGCATCTCTTGACCAATCCTTCCCCTAACAATTATTGTACAGATAGGGAATAAAAATGGATAATCTGTTCTTGACACTTTTATACAGGATATCATGGCTGCTCTTGACAGAAGCCCTAAAGAGTTCAATAAACTTTTCTGAAATAGAACGGTGCTTTTTTTTTTTTTTTTCTGAGAAAGAGCCTCACTCCGTCACCAGGTTCCACGTTGGAGTGCAGTGGTGCAACCTCGGCTAACTGCAACCTCCGCCTCCCGGGTTCAAGCAATTCTTCTGTTTCAGCCTCCCGAGTAGCTGGGACTACAGGCGCACACCTGGCTAATTTTTTGTATTTTTAGTAGAGACGGGGTTTCACCATGTCGGCCAGGATGGTCTCTATCTCTTGACCTCGTGATCCACCCGCCTCGGCCTCCCAAAGTGCTGGGATTACAGGTGTGAGCCACCGCGCCCAGCCTAGAACAGTGCCTTTAAAAGGGAAAATGGTTTTGTAGGCCACTTGTCCTTTAACACAACTCATAGAAGTATAGTTAGGCTAAAAAGCTTCCTTAATTTTGAGTACAAAAATGTGTTCATTTCAGTCATTTCTTTTTAAAGGATAATGAACTTGTTAGTGTGTTATAAATACACAATGCAAGGCCAGGTGCAGTGGCTCACGCCTGTAATCCCAACACTTTGGGAGGCCGAGGCAGGTGGATCACCTAAGTGCAGAAGTTTGAGACCAGCCTGGGCAACATGGTGAAATTCTGTCTCTACTAAAAATACAAAAATGAGCCGCACATGCTAGCACACAACTGTAATCCCAGCTACTCAGAAGGCTGAGGCAAGAGAATCACTTGAACCTGGGAGGTGGAGGTTACAATAAACTGAGAGCGTGCCATCACTCTATAGCCTAGGACACAGGGCAAGACTCTGTTTCAAACTAAATAAATATAAAAGATAAAAAAAATACAGAATGCATAGACAAATGACACAATTCAGCTTTATTTTTACTTAATTATAACAATTTTTAAAAACTCCATGACTTTGTGCTATTTCTAATATTTAAATACAAAACATTTCAAATTTTGCACAAATAATTTTGGCTAATGCATTACTATATTTGAATAAAGTCAGATGAAGCAATGATTCCTCCTCTGTGTTTGAAAGGAATGACTGTGGTTACAAAGTCACAGAATGAGTCTCTGGGATCTGGGGTGGGAGAAGGGGTGGATTAAAATGCTTTGGGTTTGTCACTCCCGAGCAGGCTGAGGGTGTGGCATAGCAGCTCGGTGGCGGAGAAGTCTATTCTAGTTTCTAACACCCCAAAGCTAACTTTTCAGATGTATTTCTTTCTAGTATGTAGAAAGGGCTTTCCTTGGCTGCCAGGAAGTGGGGAGCAGGGATGTGGCATGGTGATGATCTAGGGACAGCCAGGCATATGCTCAGACACTTTGGAAAACTGGGGAGGGGGAACAGGGAGACAGAATCTTCATCTTCTTCCTTTTGTGGACTGGGGAGGAGGGTGCTTGGAGACAATTTCCTGAGTGTAAAGAAGGAATACAGGTTTGAAAGGTTTGTAATTATATGTTAAAGAAGGTACTGAAAACCAATACTGGGGGGTGGGGGAGAAGATGCTGTAAACACTTCTATTTAAAATGAAGATTTCTGGAACAACTATACTATAGTGGTATCGTAAGTCTTTAGCTGGTAAGATCTAGCACTGAAATAACTATTTTTTTAACTTGTGAGGGATATTTTTAAAGCACCACTTAAAACCTATGTTTTAAAAAAATTAAATATAGAAAAATTGTTCTAATAAATGAGTTTGAGAATGCACAGAAAACAACAGAACCCATTTTTTAACCTCTGGTAACTGAAGTGGAGCATGAAATTCAAAGCCACTTTGAGGATGTCCTACATTGTTCACCTAAAGAGAAACAAATGCAGAGCTATCAAAGAGTTTCTTGATAAATTCCCAGACCTTGGAGGGCTACAGCTTTTCAAAAATATGGTCCCTGGACTGATGATTTCTAAATTTTAAATTTGATAACCCCAAAAAGTAACATATACGATTTATAAGTGGTTTTTTTTTTTTTGAGAAATGACCAAAAAATTGGAACTAGTTTTAAGAATCTCTGAAAACTTTAAATTCTACACATATTTTGAAACACACTTCCAAACAAGATAGACTAACAATAATACATGTCTACTACACTGCAGAAGTAGCTGAAGCTTGCCAAGACATCCTCCTTTGTCCTTGTTTCCTGGAAGAGTTGCTAGGTCATTTTTTGCCGGTGGCCAGCAGCCTCTTTAAGAACAACAAAGGATCTACTGTAAAAGTCGCTCTCAGATGTTTGCCCTGCCAGCTAACGCTTTCTCTGCACACCGCACCCGAAGGAGCACGGAGCCCGCAGGGCTGGCTGGCCCTGGCTCTGGCCTCACCGCCGGCTGGGCCGCCTTGCGTACTTGTCCTGGCTGCTCCGCTTCCGTGGTGGGGAGTAACTGACGGAACCTCGGGAACGGAAGCTGTGCTTGTAAGGATGGCTTCTGTGTTTCTTCGGGTTTTCTTCTTTCTGGGCCTGGCTCTTCGCTGGTTCCTTATCGTCCTCTTTTTGTTCATGGTCTTGCTCTTTATGAGAGGGCAATGTGTTTTTAATTGTGTTAATTAGAAATCTTTTATTGGTACCAGCAAGAGGACACTTCATCCTGGGGTTGCGGGGAGAAAAGAAAAACCATCACAAATCAAATGGTTAACTCCAAAGCTGGACCCACTATCGTGATTAGTACCAAAGAATCCTGCTCCCACAGAACCGAGTTTATGAATTTGTTAGCTTTCCTTGCATGCCACCTAGTGTAAACTCTGAGTACCAGGGGAAAAAAAAATCAAGACGATTGAATTCTTGAGACAAGACTGCCCAGGCCCTGTCTGAACACTTTTAAAATCTTTCTTCCTTCCTGAGACTAAATTTCCCGGCTGAAGTTCATATGTACCAGTACTGACCACACTGTGAATTAACAGAATCACTTAATATTTTCTTTCAACTAGTAGGTGCCCGATTTGACTATAATCTGTTTTGGATTAAATTTATTCTGCGTTGTGTTTTATTACCAGATAGTGAAAACTGTTCCTTTTCAAGGAGCCAAAAAAGTATATTCTGCTGTATCTTAAATACAGGAGCTAAATGATCTGCTCTAGAAAAAAAAAATTGTGTAAAGAATAAAAAATATGCACTAATCTTTTACTTAAAAAAATTCTTCCATTTCTATTTCAGGATGCCAGGCTATGCTCTGTGGAGGGGAGCTTTACTCACTCTCCTGCTCTGGTGAATTTCAGTACAGGATATATTTAAGTAGCTTCATGATTCAAGTTCACCTAGGAGAGGCTGCAACCAATCAAATTGCTAATTTACACGCTTAGAGATCTAATAAGAGCTTCATACTATTTATTTTCTTTTTCAGGTGTTAATCTTTCATTTTCAAAAAGATGACCCTACACCAATGAGAACTTGTATTTCTCTTGGCCTTGAAGTATCTGCCTAAAGTATGGGCTACTTTAGGAGTATCCCCAGAATCATGTTATTCAGGGTGGCTGGTATTAAACAAAATGCAGTAGAACAGCCACCTTTCAATAAATTGTGATTTACAGAGAACCCCACACAATGCTTCCGAATCAAGCCAACAACACTCCACCGTGGGAACTGTGTGGACTAGTACTGCACAGGGGAAGCACAGGCAGTCACTCATCACTTAGAGTTCAGACCACCTCAGAAAGCCAAAATGGCACGGAATCTGGAAGTAAAAGGGAGAAAAAAAAGAAAAGGCCTCCTGCTGCAAGTAGGTAGCTCTTGAGCCTTTAAAGGACAGAGAAAATATTTGAGAAGAATCAATGTTTACTTTCAGTGTGCTGTGCCTGTTTAATGGTCAAGCCAGAAGAGTGACAAAGGAATGAACTAGAACAAAGAGGAAACTAAACTGAGAGAAGGACAGTGGAGTGCAACAGAAACAGTGGCGACAGAAACAGTGGCGACAGAAACAGTGGCGACAGAAACAGTGGCGACAGAAACAGTGGCAACAGCTCTGGAGTTTAGAAGCCCCAGTGAATGAGATGAGGGGCAAAAAAGAAAGGTGGTAACAAAGGAAAAACAGTTCTGCAAGTACTGCTGGGTGCGAACTACAGAGCTTCACGGAGCTTCCAGAAAATGTACACCAGCATCATGCTTCCTTAGCAGTTTCAAGGTAAAGACATTTCTACCTCCTGGGGGCATGCTGGCATTAGGGCACTCCTGTGCAGTAAGGCAGGCACGTGATGAGAGGCAAGCCAAGTTCTCCTACAGGGTCTGATGGTACTACTGAATGCAGGTGCTGCTGTGGTGAAATCAGACAGTATTATACACTGGCATGTTCCAAAACAGCGTAACACTGACAGCCTACAGGAAAAACTCCCCGTCATCACGGAAAATGAAAAGCTTACAGGGTCCATCAGTGGCAATGGTGACCTGGTGCTTACTATAGAAGCAAAATCTTTTTTATAGGCAAATGAACTACATATGTCTCTTGGATATATAGGGCTAGGAATAGCTGGTGAAACATGGCCAGCTACAGAAGAATTCTGGGGTATTTTCACTGAAGTGGGCCATCTCAGTGGTAGTAAACTGGCCCATTCTTCTCTGCATTAAACAACAAGGAAGGTACTTTCCTCAGATGTGATGGTCGTCCAGGACCTCAGAATGAAACCTTTGGTAACTACTGGTGAATTCCACTCTATTTTACTATCTGCAATGTCAGATCATCTTTAAAACCAAATGCTTCCTTGAGGGGAGCAAAGCCCTGCTACTTTCTGCAGCATTCATGCCAAGAGGCAGACGGGACTGCACCTGTCTTCCAACTGCCAGTGTAACCACTGACTCAACATAGTGACCCAAAGAGTTAGTCAGAGAATGAGATGGTTTTCTAGAATAATTCCACACGAAAACTGGCATTTACATCTCTTTTAACATCAGAGATGCAGTTTTTAAATGTTAGTTATGCCTGGAATTCTATTCTAGGTGAAAAGCCAAGGGTGGCTTGAAGGGATCTTGGTTTACTGGGGTGTGGTGGAGGTGGGGTTTGAAAGTCAGACATCTCCCAGGCATGCCAGTGCACATTTTAGAAGTGATGACAAGTGCTCATCCACACACTACTAATAAATAGGGCAGGGCAATGAGATACAGTAGTTCCAAGCAGACGTGAAGGTACGTATAGTAAATAATTTTGCGTAAAGAAATTCCAAAATCTGCATTGAACTGATCCAAGCATAAGGATGCAACATCAAAACCAGTGTCTGAGGGAATCAGTGGGGAGAGCTTCTTTGGCCTTTAAGGTAGAAATTAATTTTGCTGACTCTGACAGCCAGTTGTTTCATTGCTAAGAAATCATACCACATGAGACAGTGGCTGAGCACACATGCTCTGGAATCACACTCTCAGACTGGACTTTGGGCATGTTATGTAATCTCCCTGCTGCCTCTTACCTGTTAAGTGGGGGGTGGATAGTAATGGCGACTATCTTAAAGGGTTGCATGCAGATCAAATGAATGCGAACATGTAGAGTACTCAGAACAATGCCCGACACATACAGGCACTTAGTTAATTTCAGCTTTGGTTCACAGACTACTATTTAATTAGCTGTGTGATCACAGCAAATTCCTTAACTCCTCTTTGCATTCATTTCCCTCACTTGCAAAATGGGAATAACGGAAGTACCTACCTTACAAAGTTATTGTGAGGATTTAATGAGATAATGCATAAAGCATTTAGCATGGTATGTGGCGTATAGCAAACTGCAACAAATGTTACCTACAGGTCCACAATTTCTTATTCCTAATTCCAAAATTTAAAAACCCATTAAAACCAAGTTATTTTTATGACACCAAAATTTGTTTGCCAGCAAAACTTGATCTGACCCGATTCTGGGCTATTTATAAATAGTCTTTATGCCATTTAATATAAACATTCATATGTTTTGCTAAAGACATGATACCATTTGAAGAAGTACAGGGTAGTGGTGGTGGGGGGTGTAGTACATGCCATCTGTGCTGTAATACCTTTCTAAAATGTGAAAATGTTTAAAATTAGAGACTTATTTAGATAGAAAGGTTTTAGACAAAGGATGGTGGACCTACGTTATTATTTACTCTCTCTTCACAAGAAAGAGAACATACAGCTCTCAAATAGGCTAATACATCCAGAATTTTTCCAAGATGGCAACTCAAAATATCATCCCAAAGCCTGAAATCACCTGTGATAATAAGTTAATCATGAACAGAGTAGAATATCTGAAGTTTCTCTATGAAAGAAAAGATTAAGAAAAAAGCCATAATTAAAATTTAATGAGACATTTTACATGTTTCCAAAAAAAGGTTTAAAATTTTAAAGTTTTGGTACTTAAAAAAAGGGTTAGAATTTTAAAAAGTTTTGGTACCTTAAATGGTTAGATTTGTATTTGTGAAAGTTTCAGATTCCAGGCTATCTCAATTCTGCATTGCTATAGAGATCAAGGGACTACTACATACTACCTCTGAGTTTATCATTTATATTTCCAACTGTTCCACAAATCCTCTGGGATTTTGTCCTCAGATGTAAAAGTAAAGGTTGAAGTAGGTAGGACTTTAGCGTCCCTTCCAGTTTTAGGATCCTCTACTAGTGCTCTGTATGTTACCTCTTTAGAAAAGTTCTGCCTGCTCATTCATCACATTAGGAAACTATTTCTTACTGCCATTTCCTGCCTCCCCTGAACCACCACAGTATTTGAGATGACATGATAAGCTGGCATTAGACACTCCACCATTCCCTGCTTTTCTCATATCAGCTCTGAGGTAACCATCTGAGCATAAGATCACAGGGCCACAGCTGCCTGCTGTGTTGCACCATCTGTCACTGACTAGGCCCCAAAGGTGTGCTGGAAAAAGGACTGGAGGAGGCCACAGGACAGGGCAGCTGCTTTCCTGCCTTAGCTCTGACTTGCAGGGTGACTTTCTCACCCTGGCTATTTTAATATGTAGTTTATTTTTGTTTCTAGAAAGTTATGCTAGCACACATGTTAAGAGCCAGATTTAAGGTACTAACAACATAAATGGATATAAACCCTAAATATCATGAGACTGGTTAAGTCTGCTTTGGAAAGTACCAATGACACACTGTCAGATTTGAGATCTGACATTCTATCTCTGTTAAACTTTAAAAGGAAAGCAATTTCCTTCGCTTTCAAAGCTGTGGGCTCAGAAGCTGTGAGGAAGACTTCCACATGCCATGGGAAAGGCTGACTGCTCAAGAATCCGCCACTGGAGAGATGAAGACTGGGGCTAGGATTAGACGCTTTTCATCTTTTTTGTCTCTCTTGCTGAAGGAGGGAGGTAGTATTATCTAACTTTCCACAGATTTAGACCTGCCACCTTTTGCTTGTAAAGTATTTCATGAATGGGACCTGAGAGTGACACAGGATCACTAGCCAACAGGGTACACTGAAGACACAATTACCCTGTACTGTTCCATTACCAGTGTTGCCTCATTTCATCTTCACAACCATCATCCAAAAGAAAAGAAAGGATAAAGCACTTATCCACATCCCAAGCTAGTAAGATGTGGAGCCAGACTGGAACCAGGGACTCTGGAATGGGGCCGAGGGAGTGGAGCAGAGAAAGACTCACTGCAGTCTAACCAGATGGCCAATTAACAGAGCAGTCAAGAAAGAAACCGCAGGTGAAAAGCTTGTCAGCACATTGTAGCTGAGGCTCCTCCTCAAGGACAGGCAGGAAGCAGCAGATGCACACACAGTGACAGGTCTGCTAAGGACAGCAGGCCACTCAGGAGCCCAGAAGAGTCACCGACACGGCCAAGGACAAAGGTGGAGAGTCCCTTAAACACACATGATTCTAAGATGTGTGAAGTCAAACAGGTAGTGGGAAAGAAGGAGTCACAAAAATTATTTTTATGGATAGGGAATAGACACCATGGAGTCATGGAAAGAAGGTTCCATGCAGTGTACTTCAATTTGTTCTTTTATTCTGTGGACAAATCTGTTCCTATACTAGCAAACAGCACATCTTCCATTCTGGACATGTCTTTGCACTCTCATGGATGTAGGTTTGCAATAATGACTCTAAAAGGACTGAGGCAGAGGCCTAACTCCATTCCCAACTCTCCATGAAACAAGGGGAATATTTGTTATCTTGATGCTGTGGTTGATTACAACACATTTTGCCATTCAGTGCTGCCACAACTACCATAACCACCCATGGTGCTACAGTTTACAATTTGGCAATCAAATGCCTCAGCATGTGGCCACCTGAAAAATGCTTTTATGGCGTTATAATCCCTATTAGTAAACTATTAACCCTTAATTACTCTGTGTACAACAGTCCAGAGGGTCACAGTGGGTGTTCAGTGACTGTCTCTAACACTGTACCTAAAAGTAATGGAATATCATTGACATATGTTTGTCTGTATGTATATGTATATATGTGCATATATATATATATTTAAATATCTGATATATGCAAAGCATTATGCTAAGCCCTATAGGAAAGATAGATAGCAACCTATCTGTTTATATGTCTCTGTCTTTGGAGATGGTATAAGAGGAACAGAAGGTAGGGGAAGTTGAAGTTCAGAAGCAGATATGTGAACAGTAGCACAGTGAGACAGTCTGCAAGGCTATAATCTCTCAGCCTCCAGCTCCGTCGGCAGCGCAAATCATTTGCATAGATATGTGCTCTAACAGTAACACATTCAGGGCTCCCTCACTCACTTTCATAACTGGATATGAAAGGAATGAGGGAAGCAGGGGCAGTAAGCGTTGGCATTTCAGCATGTTATCAGACAATAACCCACAGAGAGAAGTGATGTTGCACAAGGAGTGTTAAGTGACAGAAAAGCCAAGTTATAGTCCCATCAGCGACTGAGTAGCCAGGGCTTTAAGAAACCTCTTTGGGCCTCATGTTCTTTACGTATAAAGGCTTTGGATCTCTGTGGCCTAAAAATATTGCCATCAGCCTCCTCCATGAATTGTCTCAGATGTGGGCCCTTGCTCCCCTCCTCACTGGTTCTAACACAGTTAGCATGGCGTGCCACACTGCTTGTTTATCTGTATCCACCAGTGGATTAAAAACTTTAAGGCCAGGAAAGTGAATCTTCTTTACTACTGTCCATGATTGGCCTCTTAACATACCTACTGGTGCCAGTGAATATTCACATAAACAAATAAACACATGTCTGGATAAAGACTGGAGAAATGACTTACTTTCCAATAATCAACAGTTGATGACATAAACTAGAAGAACAAGATGGGTGAATTTCTTCCATATCTCTAGATTGACTCTCAATCCAAACAGAAAAGCACTGAAAAATGTCATTCCCCTTAAAACAATTGGGTTAAGGGAACTCAAGAATCATTTTCTCTCAATTCAACCTTTAGGGTTTATTTTGCCAAAATATAAGCTTTTCCACGTATAAGGCTGAAGCTCCACAGGCACTAGACTAAAAAATTATATTAGGCAGTAGATAAGCTAAAGTGAATGTGATCAGAATAAAAACAGCTTTGTAGACAATGAAGTTGGGCAAATTTCTGAAATTTATGCTTATAAATTCCTTTATGTTGACTAAAAGGAAGTCATTTGAGCCAATATTTCAGCTTCTCTAAGGCCTCTGTCAACAACAGCTTCTGAAGAGATTCTTTTGCTGAAATACATCCAAGGAAGAATATAACACCAAATGGTCTCTTGCTTTATAAAATAAAAATGGCATCCCACTTGCATTTGCTTTAGCTTAGCAATTTCTTTCTGGCATCTGCTCAACCACCTATTTCTTACAGAATATCCAAAATGAAAAATAGTATCACTCACTCTAGTTCTATTTTAAATTTTAAAGCAGATAAAAGGTCTTCTAGATACTTAAAAAAAAAAAAAAGAGGCCATGGTCACTAGTGAACAATAGCTTGCTACTCTTTTAAGAACTGTCCAAGAAGGTCCACGGTCCACTCCACAGCGACAGGATTGAGACTCTCGTGGCTGAACACCTGGTCAGGCTCCCTAAGTGCTATTTCAGTGCAGAGGAGCTGCCTGCCCCTGGCCAAGGTGTAGAATTGTTCTGGATTCTGCAGAGTAGGCTAGTATCATTCTTTTGAATAAAAAAGGGATTATAAAAATGTTCTTTCAATTTGTGTGCACTTTAGAATCACCTGGGTATCTCTTTTAAACACCAAAGCCCAGGCTACACCCCAAGCTCATAATCACTGATAGCGGGGCATAGGCATCAGTATGTTTTGAAGATTTCCAGGTGATTCCAAATGTGCCGATAAATTTGGGAACTAATGACTAGTGGTTAAAAGTTTCTCATACACACTTATTAAATAAATGGAAACCAGGTGATCTTCCAGGATGAGCAGATGGAGGGCAGGTGCCCTTTGGCCTGGCACCAGTGAGAAGAAGCAAGCCATGGCTGTCATGGGTCCAGACCTCCTTTCATAGCCCATATCTGTTTGGGTGTGCTGAACTGCTGGACTGAACACTGGCTAGGAAAAAACAGGTTCTCCTGGAGTAACCAAGTACCCAGAGATTCCTGCTTCCAGAGCAACACAGATAAAAAGTCAAAATGTACACATTACAAAAGAGAGAGAAAGAGAAAAGTAGATAAACTCTTTAAATGAAGTCAAGTCTTCATGGGATTGACCTGCTCAATTGTTCAGAGCAGTGCTTCCCAAACTTAGTTGATAAGATCTTCTGGGAAGCTTTAAAAACACACACACACACACAACAACAACAACAAAAAAACCTGTAGAACCGATCTTAGACTTCTCTGTCAGAATGTCCTAGAATGAAGCAGGGAAGGAGATCTGTATTTCTAAAAACCTCTCCAGATTATTATAAATCTCATTAAAAAAATCTCTATTAAGAAGTGATAAATAGAACACATATTTGTTATGCATTACTATAAAAGAGCCCCTGGCAGAGGATCACAGTGGAGAGCATTTCCCCCTTCTCATGCTTCCCTTAGTGCTCACTGTTAGCAGGCCTGACTTTTCACAGACTTTTATGCATTACAGGGTCCCACGGCCTTCCCTGAGCAGGCCAATAGAGGATTATACACATTGGTCCACAACTCGGTTTTTCACATACATACTAGACATTTTCTCACAAGGATTCATATAGTGCCGACCAATTCTTTTTAGTGACTGTGAAATATTCACGAAATAGGATGTACCAGAGTTTATTTGAGCACTTCCTTATCTATGGACATTTGGACTGTTTCCATTTTTTTTTTTTTTTTACTATCAAAATGTGCTACAATAATTTTGTACTTAGGTCTGTGCACATTTATGAGGTTCTATGAAAGAGAGATTACTGGGAGCAGAGATTCTGGGTAAAGAGGCACAGAGAACTGTGACTCAACATTTTGCCCACGGCCCTGCACAGAGCAGACCACACTAGTGCCTGCAGTGTACATAGCACCCCTTTCCACGTCCCTTCACATCCCGTCACCTCCGCTGGATTACTGCCTCTTTCATTTCTGACAATCCAATGGGCAAAATTTAAGAGGAATATAAATATCTACGCATGCACTCCCACCCTCATTAGAGTATAAATTCTAAGAGGGCAGGAATCTTTATCATTTTGTTTACAGATACATGAGTACCAAAATAGTGCCTAGCTCTGCTAAGTACTCAACAAATGTCTGTTGGTATGTTTATTTACTGGCCATTTGTAGTTTTGATACACACACACAGAGATATGGTTTTCTTTTTATAAACTGATTTGTAGAAGCTTTTTCAGTACTAAGAATATTAGTCCATTGTCTGTTACATGTGGCGAATAATTTCAACCAGTATACCACTTGTCTCTGTACAGGTTAACTTTTTGTGTGGTACCTTTTTCCATGTAGAAGTTCACTATTATCATCACATGGTTGAATCTGCCACGTCCCATTCGTAGCTTCTAGGTTTTGTGCCTGGCTAAGGAATGTTTCTACCCTCTCTCTGCCAATATTATACAAAATTAGCCTATATTTTCTTCTGTAAGACTCATATTTTGTATGTTTAGTTTTTAATTTTCAGGATTACAGATGGTCAATTGTATTAGCACCACTTACTAAATAATCCACTCTTTCGTCACCAGTATGAACAGTGACCTTTTTCCACAGTTAGTTCATATACATATGTGGATCTCCATTTTTTTTTGGTTTTCTTTCCTTCTCTGCTCCCTTCCTTCCTCCCCTCTCTTCCTTCCCCTGTTCTCAATTCTTGGTTCTCTATTTTCTCTCACTAATGTCTTTAGTCTTACCTAATGTCATACTAATTACTATAAATGTACAGACCATTATTATATCTGAGCATGCATTACTCTCATCTCATTCCCCCCAAAAATATCTTGGCTGAAAAATTTCACCTTTATAATGGAGAGATCTGGTAGTCACTAGCTTTACCAAGGGCGACCTGACATTAAGTCCTCCTGACCTGTTATAATTAAGATGTATATAAACATCACCTGTAATATACCTTCCAGTCAAACAAGTTTAACCTGAATCTAATCAAGAAAACATCATCAGGCAAATCCAGTATGTGGAACATTTTTGCCTGGATCCTGAATCTGCATCCCAAACAAAAAAGCAACCACTATAAAAGACATTTTTGGGATGTCAGATGATGATATGAAATTATACATTAATTTCATTGATACTGTAATTACAATGTGATTATGTATGAGAATGTCTTCGAGATCTGCATGCTGAAGAATTTATAGCTGAAGTATCAAGATGCCTACAAGCAATTTTCACATGGTTCAGCCAAAAATTAATACATTTGTATATTACATGTGAATATATTACACAGATCACACAAACATATATATTCACACAATTTCCTGTTTTCTTATTATATTTTCTAGTGGGCTGTTGACTGTATAAATAAGGAATTGATTTTGAATGTTAATCTTGTGCTGAACCACTAAGAGTAGACATTGTATCTTCAAAAAATGACCTTTCTCTTCTTTTTTCCCCTCCTATTGTCCTTGTTTTGTTGCATTTACTTGCTGGCACCTATCTAAGCAGCAGTTCTCAATGTATGACCTGTGAATCCTGAGGGCCCTCCAGACTCATGAAGGAATCCACAAAGTCAAAGCTACTTCCATAGTTTTGATATAATTTGCTTTTCTCCACAGGGTTGACATTTGCACTGATGGTGCAAAAGCAACAAGTAAAACAGTGGCAAGAATCAAGGCAGTAATGATAAACTGTACCAGTGGTCATTGTACTTTTTACCACCACGCACTTCCAGTTAAAAATGGCCAGTTTTACTTGAGAGCGTCCTTGACAAAGCAGTAAAAATTAACAATTTTGTTAAATTTTGACCCTCGAGTATCTGTCTTTTGACTAATGTATGTGTATAAATGGGAAATACATACAAAGCACTTCTGTTACTTGAGATTATGGTGCCTGCCTCAAGTAAAAGTACTTGTGTGACTGAGTGGCAAAGTGAACTAGCTGGTTATTCAGACGTCAGATGTGGGTGAGCCTGTCACTTCAAGGAAAACAACTCACAGTATTCACTGCCAATATACAACTGGAGCTTCCAGATGAATGGAAATTAGAATTTTGGTAAACTGTGAACTCGACAGGTTTCCTTGACACTTAAAAGACTTATCTGATGAGATTAGTGATATTTACAGATGTGATTTTAAAAAATATTATATAATGACATGTGTCAACATTGGAAGCTTTATAACTCAGTGAGCCCATATTTCCAGATGACCGATGAAGATGTTACAAAATCAAGAATAAGCAGAAGATCCAGCCAAAGTACAAGGATATTACATAAAGGGCTTTTACTGTAGAAGAATAGGAAAAATTCAAATTATTAAAAGAATATTAAGAAACTACTACTTGTTGGAGTTACTTGCAAAGTTCTGATGAAGTATCAAAGAAGAATATCTACAGTTTTCCAAAAAAGTTACTGAAATACTTCCTCCTTTTGAAAATCCATAAGGTAAGTAAGGTAGTATTTTCTTCATATACTTCAGCCAAAATAACATATTGCAATAGATTGATTTCAGAAACAGATATAAGAACCCAGGTGTCTTCCATAAGTCAGACACCAAAGAGGTTTCCAAAATTACTGTATTCAATACATTTGTTTTGCAAATAGTTACCTTTTTTTTTTTTTTGTCTAGATGTAGACATCAGACAAAATTCTGGCTAATGGGGTACATGTAGAAATGGTACATGCAGGCTGGGCACAGTGGCTCACGCCTGTAATCCCAGAACTTTGGGAGGCCGAAGTGGGTGGATCACAAGGTCAGGAGTTCAAGACTAGCCTGGCCAAGATGTCTACTAGCCCCATGTCTACTAAAACAATACAAAAATTAGCTGGGTGTGGTGGCAGGTGCCTGTAATCCCAGCTACTCAGGAGGCTGAGGCAGAGAACTGCTTGAACCCAAGAGGTGGAAGTTGCAGTGAGGTGAGATCACGCCACTGCACTCCAGCGTGGGTGACAGAGTGACACTCTGTCTCAAAAAAAAAAAAGAAAAGAAAGAAATAGTACATACAACTTCTGGCAAGTTTTCTTCTTTTTTGTTTTCTCCCGAGTAGCTGGGATTACAGATGCAAGCCAGCATGCCTGGCTAATTTTTCTATTTTTTTTTTTTTCTTAGCAGAGACAGGGTTTAGCTACGTTGGCCAGGCTGGTCTCAAACTCCTGATCTCAAGTAATTTTTCCGCCTCAGCCTCACAAAGTGTTGGGATTACAGGCGTGAGCCACCGCACCCAGCCATGGCAAATTTTCTTAAAGGGAAGGGGTGTTCCTTCTTTTTCTTCTTCCTTTCTGCTAATTGCAATGTGGACTCAATGTCTGTTACTACATTAGACTATGGAGAAAAGAGTCACGCCCTATGATTGGGAGATTTGGAAAACTGGAAGGAGTCTGGTCCTTCCAGTAACTCCTGGAACTGCCACCCTAACTGCTGTTATTCCCGAAGAGTACATCAACGTCCACACAAATCTCAAGACAGTCTGGTGCACATGGTAACTTCCCCCAGGGAGAGCAGAACTAGCATTGATAGGCTAGTTCTTTTACTATCAGAAAGTTTTACTAAGCCAATAAGTGGTACTAAAGTTGCCAGGATAAATAACAAGTATCTGGAGAGCTGGCTAGAAACAATCAATCCCCTTAAATGCTTCTTACAGAGCAACAACTATGATATTTTCTACTCACTTATAAACTGCATGATTTTAGCCCTATGCTAAGTCTTTCTAAAGGTATTAGATTACATCAGTGACTACTGTCATCCTGATGAAGATCCAGCCTTATATCCAAAACCAAAGCACCCTGTGCCTAAAAAGTTTGTACTAATCTGACTCACAATAGTTAGGCACCTTATTTCTGTAAAGGACAGAGGAGGGCTGGAAAGAAGTAAAAAAATTTAACTAATATTTACTAACTGCTACGTGCCAGGAACTGTGTTGGGTGTTTTCACACACATTATCTCACCAGATTTTAACAACCATCCTCCCACTTTCCCATGAGTCTATAAGACAAGAAAATATTTTTTTCAATTGTCTTGTAATAGTGGTTCTTAAACTTTGTGGTCTGAGGGTACTTTACACTCACACTCCTAAAAATGATTGAGAATACCCCAGAGAGCTTTTGTTTATGTGGGTTATATCTATTAATATAAATATTCAAAATTAAAGCTGAGCATTTTTTAAAAAGTATTTATTCACTTCAAAATAATGTATCTATTATTTACTAGATATATTACTGAAGCTAAGATGATTACACATGGTAGATAGATTGACTCATTCACATTAGATTATTTCATTATATAATTTCATCCATAAATATATCACAATATATTTCTAAAAGATCATGGCTTTTAAAAATTAAAATTACAGCAATACTATCACACCTAAAAAAGCAACATCAGTTCCTTAATATCACCAAATACCCTCAATTGTTTCATGACTTTTTACAGTTAATTTGGATAAAGATCCAAACAAGGTAGCCATTTTATTTAATATTCCTTAAATCTATTAATTCACAGGATACTCTCCTCTTTCTTTTCGCCTTGTAATTCATTTGTTAAAGAAACTGAGTTCTTTGTCCTATAGAATTACTCACATTTTGGATTTTTGTGATTGCAGCCTTATGGTGTCATTTGACATGTTCCTCTGCCCTCTGTATTTCTTGCAAACTTAGTTCTAACTAGAGACTTGCTCCAATTGAGGTTCAATTTTTTGACAAGAATGTCTCAGAGATGGTGGTTTGCTCTTCTTGCATCTTTTTTGTGGTATGATGACTGAAGAATGTGTTGAAACTCAAATTATGATATTATTCTATAATCCTTCTATATGTATTAGTTACAATTCTTTTTCTTTCATCAATTAATTAGTGACTTTGAAGTATCATTTGTACAGGGAACAGGGTAATAAATGCTTACTTCTTCCTATTTATCAGTTTTGTGAATAGTGATTTGGTTCCCTAGCATCCTATAAAAGGGACTACCAGGTTTCTCACTATGATTATCATTATGACCTTATATATTTAAACACATTTTAGGTGTTTTAATAATTTGTTTTTTAAATCCAATTATCTCATCTTTGACTAGTCGGAGACCTTTCAAGTGGGTCTTGAGTCTTTCTGACATGAGTATATTGGTCTTTGACAGTTCCTTTGCTTTCTCGTATGACAAGATTTTCCAGCTTCTCTTACACATTTCCTGCCCATGTAGTGAAAAGTCTGATATGGTCCAGAGAGTGCTGGCCTTTGCCTTAGATTCCAGAAAGTAATCTATGTCACACTTAATAGCTTGGCAATATTCCATGCCTATTATCACACACCAATGCTGGTAGGGTAGCATGTCCTGACTCCATGGAGCAGAGGACGACAGTGGCTTCACATTTGGACTCCTCCCAGACTCGGATCTGTGTGTCTTATTTTGGCTGATTTTAGTTTGTATCTTTTCCCTGTAATAAACTGTAACCACAAGTATAACAGAGTTTAGTGAATTGTGTGAGTTCTTCCAGTGAATTACTGAAGCTAACGGTGGTAGTTTGGGAGAATCCTCTGAACTTGTATAGTTGGTGTAAAAAGTGAGAATAGTCTTGGGGACTGTGACCTCTAACTTTAGAGTTTGGTGAAATCTGGGCACTTCCTTCAGGTTGGCAATCAGTTCTCACTCTAAGGATCCCTGTCCCTTTCAGTGAGAAATGATATTTACATAAGATAATTTTGGCATCAGGGGTGCTCACTGCTGTTGGGTGGGTGGTCATTGTTTCTAGGCCTTTTCTGTGAACAGAGCTAGAAAAAACTTTTCTCTCTCCCTCTCTTTTTTAAGAGAAAATCTAGTAAACCTCATACTGATGTTTCCGATTCAAATTTAGGATTACAGGTAGGTTTTTATTTCTTGGATTTTATATTTGTAGCTCTTTAACAAGGAAAATCTTGGTATTTATATACAGAAAGTATTGCTTATTTTATCCTACTATATAGTATTTTCAGAATAGCAATACCAGCATTATTACTAACAGTATGATGACTGAAAACAATTTCTTTGTAGTAATTTTTTATCTTTTGGAAATATAGTCAAATTCTAGATCACTTGAAATAGTTTCTTTCTATGTAGCTAAGCCATCTACTCAATGGTTTATTAGGTCCATGTTTTATTTTGCTTGATTTTTAGGTATTATCTTTTCCCTCTATTTTAATTTTTGTTTTGTATTTTAGGTAAACCATGTGCGTGGTTCTAAAAGTCAAACTTACAAAATGAGCTATGTTTAAAAGTCTAGCTTCTACTCTTATCACATTTTTACATTTTACTCTTTTTAATGACCCACCTTATTGCATTGCAGTACATTTTTAACTGCAGATAAAAAATTCCGCCAGGCACGGTGGCTCACACCTGTAATTCCAGCACTTTGGGGGGCTGCAGTGGGTGGATCACCTGAGGTCGGGAGTTTGAGACCAGCCAGACCAACAAGGAGAAACCCCATCGCTACTAAAAATACAAAATAAGCCAGGCATGGTGGCATATGCCTGTAATCCCAGCTACTCAGGAGGCTGAGGCAGGAGAATTGCTTGAACCTGGGAGGCAGAGACTGGTGAGCTGAGATCATGCTATTGCACTCTAGTCTGGGCAACAAAGGTGAAACTCCATCTCAAAAAAAAAAAAATAAAAATTCAGCATATTTATCAAATGCAAATGGCATTACTAAAGTAGTGCCTAGAAGAGTAGAAGTCAGTCTACTTTTCTTTTTTTCGGTAGAGATGGAGTCTCACTTTGTTGCCCAGGCTAGTCTTGAACTCCTGGGCTCAAACAATCCTCCTGCCTTGGCCTCCCAAAGTGCTGGGATGACAGGAATGAGCCATTGTGCACCGCCTATATTAAGGTTTATTTATTTATTTATTTATAAAACTGATCACCAACGGCCAATTAATTATTAAGTTTTAAAAGCTCTATCTTGTACATAATCTGCAAATGTAATCTTTAATTCTACATGGCTGAATTGTCACATAATCAAAATGCTTACAGTCAAAATTAATTTCCTAAAATAACTTTTAATTTAGTACAGACTGTAAGTAAACTAGCAATTCTTAAACAATAAACACCAACATAATATTACTCTCGGCCGGGTGCGGTGGCTCACGCCTGTAATCCCAGCACTTTGGGAGGCCGAGGTGGGTGGATCACGAGGTCAAGAGATCGAGACCATCCTGGTCAACATGGTGAAACCCCATCTTTACTAAAAATACAAAAAAATTAGCTGAGCATGGTGGCGCGTGCCTGTAATCCCAGCTACTCAGGAGGCTGAGGCAGGAGAATTGCCTGAACCCAGGAGTTGGAGGTTGCAGTGAGCCAAGATCGCGCCATTGCACTCCAGCCTGGGTAACAAGAGCGAAACTCCGTCTCAAAAAAAAAAAAAAAAAAATTACTCTCGCACGGGTGAGTTTGGCCATAGTAGCATCTAAATACCTCTGGGAGACTTGTGAACTAAAGGGACAGTGAACTCACACTGCGTATCCTCCATATGCACCCACTGCCCATTTCTTCACGTTATTAGAGTTTCTCAATATTCAGTTTTCAGTAGTGTCTTACTCTATACTCATCTCTGAGTGATTTCCTCTGCTTCCATAGTTTTACCTTTCCTCTATATGCTAAAGATTTACATATATATATCTGTAGCTAAGACTTTTTTCTTAAGTTTTAAGGAAGATTACTCAAAGAACTTACCAACCCATGGGTCCCATTGTTTCGGCTCTAGTTTTTCCACGTTTTGCCTCCTTAAGCAGTTCTTCTATGGCTTTCCTGATAAGAAAAAGGAAAACATTTGAGAGGCAGTCACCCCACTAAGTTCTGAAAATCAGTTCATTCCAGGTCCATGATCTTGGGAAAGGAACTAACTTTTGAGGCATGATTGCTGCGCAAATTGTTTTTTAAATGGTTGACAATTTTGAACACGTAAATTAAAAAGAAACTATTAATAAAGAGAAGCAATACTGAAGAGAAAAAATGACTAACTGAAAAAATATTTTCGATATGAGACAGCTAAATAATATATCTTTAATACAAGAATGTTCTTTTCTTATTTGAATAACCAACAGACATGAACAGCTGAATATGTATATATCTGTATATTTTCAAATTGACTGTTAGTCAAAGGAATACCAGTGAACTCAACAAGGATAAATGTTTCTGCCCATTATTTAGTGAGTGGGTAGAGAAATGGATACCTTCTCTCTTAATGCGGACTGAAGCTGACTAACATTTCTCAAGGACAATCCAGCAACACAATAAGGAACTTTAAGAACAGTACATACCAGTTAACCTAGAAATTTTACTTTGTCCTATAAAAATATTCAAATAAGTATGCAAAACTCTATGTACAAGGATATTCGAACTACTTGTTAACAATTACAGAAAAAAGCAGAAAACTTAAATATTTACTAATAAAGGACTGGCTAAATAAATCATGACATATCCACATACGCAGAGGATTAGACAGTCATTAAAAATGAAGACAAACGAATTTTTGGCACAGAAAGACACTCATACACAGTATATAAAGCTGGGTAAAAAAAGATTACATGCAGGATAATCTTAATTTCAAATTTATTTACATATGTATGTGACATAGAAAAACATTTGGAGAGGGCTGGGTATGGTGGTTCATGGCTGTAATCCCAGTACTTTGGGAGGCTGAGGTGAGAGGATCACCTCAGGTCAGGAGTTTGAGACCTACCTGGACAACCTAGCAAGACCTGCTCTCTAAAAAAAGAAAAAAGAAAGAAAATAAAAACATTTGGAGGGATGTTATCAAAACAGTTAGATGAGTTTTAAGGTGATTTCTTTTTGTTATAATGATATTATTATAATACTACCATCTACTATTTAATCTTCAAATGATATTAATATTGTTTGTTTATAAGAATGTTTTATTTCATGTTGATTTTTATCCAAGTAAAGCATGCACATAACTTAAAAACACACTATTTAAAAGACTTAAAATATACCAGTCTTCTACATTATCCTGCCCTACCCACCAAAGAAAACAATTTCAACTTTTTTTCATCTGTTTCTCATTTTTTACCTCCATATTCTTAATACTAAGCTTTAAAACTATTTCATCACTTCTTAATCTTCAAAAATACATCTGCTTGATTTTGTATAACCATTTTAAAATAAACTCTTACTGAAATCTTTGAAAGATATCTTTTCAATTAACTCAGCAACTTGACACTTTCTGATCCTTCCTGGGAGGGCCCACTGCTGCGGGTCAATGAGGAACTGATGTGCTTGCCTACTTACCGACAGCTATACTTTCTTACTCTCTGGACTTCCTCAATCACAGGTTTCACAGCCCAGCCTTATGGAATCACAAGAGGTTAAGTGCATCTGATGACATTTGCTGTTTCTTCCAGCTCTTTAGAATAATGATATGGCTGGCTGAAATAATCTGGGGACTTTGTCTCTTACAATAGTTCAAGAAAAACTTATCCTTATTCCAAAAGAGATCCTATTTCACCCTTATAGATTTAAGTTAAAAAAATTAAAGTGTGTAAATATTCCAAATATGCCTCTTCCTTTCCCATAAATTAGTGTGGTAGTTTCAAAATACAAAGAGATAATCAATCATACTTAGATCCATCTATGTGCTCTCCTTCTGTCAAAATAAATGGTCAAAAATAATCAGGAAAAAAACTGTTTGGGGCAGTTCCCCAATTATGAACAAAATATATATCAGTTATAAATAAACTAGAATGCATTTTCCCATAAAAACTTTGTTAAAATGTTTGCCTAGTTTTCTGGACCAGACTACAGAAGCTTATTTGAGTCAGAATCCAACTGAAATGCTATACATCTATCTGCAGAAGATACTCAGTAAAGATTTTTGCAGAGACCCTGGAGGCATATTCCAGGTGCTTCCAAGAGCTATGAAGTTTGACAGTGAGTCTTCTTTAGTTTCAATTCTACTTAAAACTGCCTCTGGCACTGTTATTAACTTTACCTGGCACACTTAAGGATGCCTTCTGGTTTACGAGTACAATCAAAGAGAAAAGAAGGTATATGTATGAGAAAGATGGCCCGCGGTGAAACAGATTCACCAAGGATGAAAGACCGTAAAAGGAGAAGTAGAGACTGGGTAGAAGGGCATTCAATCAGCTGGTCTGCAGTGTTCCCATAGGTAAAGGAGGCTTAGCCGCTGTCCACAGCCAGTGTGGTGCAGAGTGACCCATTCCCATGGTTGGGATCTACCCAAGTTAGGTATCTGCAATTGGTTTAACAATGACTAATGCCGATATAGAGCTTTAAGTATACCAAGTACTATCCTATGTAACCATGATAACATAGTTATTACCACCAGTTTACAAATGCGCAAGTGATATTCAGGGACATTGACTAACTTGCCCAAAGGGACACTGCTAATGATCAGGGAGGAGAGGGCAACAAGGAAGAGGAACAAAGCAAACAAAACTCAACCTCTGTTTTTAAGGCTAGGTATCGTCTGATCCTTCTATTAGACCATCTCCTCACAAACATCTGCACAGCAAATCCTGGAGAAATCATTTATCGTTAAACGGCAAAAAATAAATGGGAAAAGAAAAAGGCCTAACGGAGTGTCATTCCTGCATTCATTCAAAGAGAACTGGGGGACAGGCTGATACTGGAGAGGCGGAAGGAATGAAGGAAGACTGATCACTATTTTCTCTTAAGAATGTTGAGCATTTGCACTTCCCACCCAAAATTCTCCTGCATAAGCTCCCTCTACAGAGCTTTACTTCCAAAGAAGAAAACAACAATTTCTAGCAATCATGTATTCTGACCTTAAAACAGTATCACTACCTTCAAAATTAAGAGGAAAAAATAGCAGCTTCCCCACTACTGTAGCCTCTGTTGTTTCCTCTAGAAATCTCGTTGATGAATTACTGGGTAAGGAAATTATAAATCCAGTTTCTACTCTACATTATCACTGAGACAAAATACTTAAATTATCAAAGATCCTGAAACATCAATGTGCATGAAACAAGATAGTTTTTAATGAGATGATGAAGGAAGTGTAAACTGTAATTAAAATATAGGAAAAGCAAACAGAATATATAAGAAGTAAGTACATACAGAACTTGAACAATTAAAAAATTAATCAGATATAAAAAAAGGAAAAAAAAAGAAAAACAAACAAAAAAGACAAAAAAATTATTCAGATATAAACTTAGTTCTTGGTATGCTACTTTTTATACTTGATTGATTCTTTTCAATATCTTGAAGGTTTCTTTGTAAAACCAATTAATTATATTAGAATACTAAGTTCCATGGAGACCCAAGAGAGCTGGGTTATTAAGCAGAAGGTTTTCTGGCACAGGAGCAAACCACAATCAATTTTCAATGATCCATGTGTGTATTATCTCCAGCCAATTTTCCATCCTGGCCCAGCTTCCCCAGGCCTGCCTGTTCATTCCATTAGCCAGCTGGTACATGCTTAAGGAATGTCAACTGATCATAATAGCAGCTTAAATAAAACCCAAGTGGGAATGCAAATCTGGTACAAAATCATCTTAAAATCCAAAGTCAAACAAATTAGTTTTGAGTTATCTGGGTCTGTTTCTTTTTAATCACTTTAATCAACAGAGGGTTAACTATTCCAGTATACAGAAGGGGACAGCAAGAAATTGAAGGCAGCTGAAATAAAGCACCAGAAATTGAGAGGCAAATTAAATAATAATGAACGTAGGAAAATGAGAATTTTAAAGAAATAAAATCAGAGAAGCTAAATCTCAACCGCTCAAAAAAGAAATGACGGAGTCAGTCAGATGGAGCTATAGGCATCTTCGTGCAATGGTGAAGGAAAGTTGGAAGATAAGGCTGAAAGTTTTCCTCATTTGTGTGTCTCTGTCTAAGACAAAGTCTCCTTTGATCAGCTAACTATAGGGTACAGTATCTGTCACATGATGGACAGAAAAACAGGTTCAAAACAGGCAATATATCATTTAATAAGACTACTCTCTTCTTGATGTGTTCAAACAAGTATGACTTGGTGACAAAAACAGAGACTTCTTAGAATATTGGCAGAAATGACTAGAGTACCATTTGCTGCTGTTGACTGGGAAGTCATCTAAAAGGCCCAACACATTATCAGTGCTGAAGGCAAACATGTTTATGTTTGTGGAGCTGTCCACATATATGTAAAAGAAACCTTGCTATGGCAATCTAAATTTTTTCTCATAATGGAGTAATAAAGCTTAGAGAGAAAAATGGAACTATCTACTTCATCTTCAGTAAAGGTTTGATGTCAGATCACAGATAAAAAAATATGGACAGATGATCAAATCACTCTGAAATCTGACCACTGCTTATAGGTTCATAACCTGCCAGTAGTAACTACTGGTTTCGTAGTCATAGGGATCTGTAGAAACCTCAGGACAAAGTTTGGGTTCTTTGTGACTTAGTATTTTGATTAGAGACATAGACAAAAATTTAGAAATAACCTTATTTAACTTCAGTAAAATATCAAATTGTCTGGGGTCATGCATCAGTTCTAAAGAAAGATAAAAAAAAATTCAAATTGTGAAAAGCGTTTTTACAGACAAGGTAAAACTCAATAGGAACGCTGAGGTCATCTGGGAAATGAAAAGAATTATTCACAGACATAAACCAGAGGCAAAAGAAATTAATCTGTACATTTAGTTAAATTTAACTAATCTATATCATGCACTTGCTAAATATAAGGTACTGTGATTTATAAGGCGAACAAGACTCTTTCCTCAAGAGGTTGTTAGGGACTGCATATAAAATAAAGAGCCATATATGTA